GCAAATACCTCGCCTGATGAAGAGTTACGTTCGCGATTGCAGAGAGGTTACAAGTGCATAATAGACGGAATGCGGGAATGGCAAATGATATTGTCCGCTTGACGACCATTAAAGCGAACGCTAAACTGTCAGTCTCAATGTTAAACATGTGCATGACCACCCACGTGCGTTACGTGGAACAGACATCGCGAAACAACAGTATTCTACTTTTACATAAAATTATGCAACAATTGATTAGTAATGAACTTATATCTCCTTCTTTAATACGATATGTAAAATAATCGAAGATAACTAGATTGTCGCAAGTTTGATAAATAGATAACAAATCTTGCATATGACGCATTAAAACCAAAAAAATCATATAAAAGTTTAAAGTGAAATATATTGCAATATATTTCGTACGAAAAGTAAAATACTGCACGAGAGTGGTGTAAAAAAAATCTTTGAAGCTTTTTCAGTTTTTGTTTAATATAGTTACTTAATCAGCCGTGACTACGTCGGTTATCGATAAGGTTTTACTGCCATTTGAGCATGTAATTGTGCAAGATAATATCCCAGTGCATAAACCTTGTGAAAAATTAAGTTCATGAATTAACGGTACGATGAATATTATTATGCAAAAAAAAAACAGATATTCGTTACGCTGGGCACTTACGTCTAATTTTTTAAAAGCAGCTGTTGCTGCTTTTATATTTCACATATGATCGAATTACGATTGATTTCGTGTTAATCTTATCAAAGTAGCAGTTGCTTGAATAATTTATAAAACCTCTGAGTGCGTTATTGACACAATAATTGAAGGACAATTAGAGAAAATTTCATTATAAAATGTCTGATGAAATAAATCTTCAATTGTCTCTACAATTGTGTAAAATACCTAATCTTGAAACAACAGTGGGATATATTAGCATCCTTGTGCTAATTGGACAAAGTAACGACGATTTGAAAAAACGCAATGCGACTTATCGCGTGAAGATGTATAGTATTGGAAATTGCAGACTCAATGCCGCAGTACGCTAGAGTTATCGAATTACGAATGGTTGAACTAGACTCCCTCGACGTCGTAACGTGTTATCGCGACGCGAAATGCAAACGCGTGCACGTACGTCATGTGCAGCAGCGTTTGTCCTGGAAACCGTTGGATTCCTTCCATCATGGAAGCCGTACGAGTTGCCCAAGTTGGTTCAAGGCCGTCGAGTGGTTTTCACACAGCATTATCGATATTTGTCGCTGACTGTGTCTCCCGTCTGTCGGTTCTATTTATTTACTTTATCGCGAGATTTTTTCCCGACTCACGTTTGTTTTTTTGTACATTTGATACGAAGAAATTCGTCGTGGTATTGATTACCCAATTTAATTCTCAGAGAGTTTATGCGACGTATTATGCAATGTATTATCTTGCAACAACGGTTTTAGCTGACTAATATAATCTCGATACTCACATACTTATGATTAAATAAATGATAACAAGAAATAAAACAGTTAAGAGGTTTTTTTTTCAGTTTAAAAGATCTTTTCTATATTATTCTGTATTTTATTTTTTATGTTTTCCTTATAATTTATTTTACTTTTCGCTTTAGCTTTCACAATATATTCAATTCTCTCGTGAATGTTTAACATATTTAAATTTTTAATAAGAAATATATAAATTTGTAAATTTATATTGAGGAAAATATCAGGACTTTTTTTAAATTAGTGATTCTTCCGTGTAAAGAATCTTAAAATAACGAGAGTTCAACGTTTACTTATTCGGACATCTGCGCAATTATAAACGACCCCATTTTCGTCGCGCTGGATAAATCTGTACTTGCTTTCCGCTCGCGAAACGTCTTTGAGTTTGAAGATATTTGTCTTCCCGAAATGTTTTCGAAAGTCATGTGATAAACATCGTCGTAATGATGCCAAGCGATCGATAAACATTTCACACCAAATACTCGCGCCAAGATGCTAATGATTAAACTTAATTTAGTAAGAAGTTACGTTCAAATTAAATTTCAATGTTTATACATGACTCATAAGATATACAATTATGTTCTCAAGAAGAAATTCTGCGAATTTTAGTGTATATTTTTGGGACCATCAATTAAAAACTGAATTTTTGACAGAGCAAATATTTGACAGAGTTAATATCCCTGTGTCGTAACTGTGCAAAAATATCTTTAAGCGAATTAAGTTTTAAAAATTCAAATCTAAGATTCAAAAATTAAATTTCTGCGAAAAGTAATTTTTTACCTTTGTTTGGAAATTAATGGATGAATATTTCCACTAAGGACATATATAAATTCTAAATTATTGAAAGATCTGCCATTAAAATACACTCCGGGACGCCATGTGTGTTGTGTATACATCACGTGGGTGGCAATTGAAGAGGAAGAGAACACTCGATTGCTTTACGTTGCGTCGCAATATACGTCACACGAAAAGAGAGAAAAGAGACGGGGCGGTTCTTTGACCATTAATCGCTTAGCACAATTCCTAGCTGTTCATTCAAAGCTCCTTCCGTCTTCGTCGCAATAGCGACGATGACTACGACGACAAAGGTCGCATCAGGCGTGTAATAAATTTTACAACACAAACATTAAGTCTGCGATAAAAGCAGCAACATAAAAATATGTTTTGAAGGTAACGGAAATTTATTGAGTCTTGTATTTTTTGTTTCGCGATTAGAACAACTCGTTAATGAAGTAAAAGTCAGATGTTGAAGGAATTGTTACTAAAACGAAGAGAAAATGTAATTACAAAAATTATTACAAATTATTATCAATGAGTCGCATGACGTCACTCTTTGTATTCATGCCGTTATAAATTGTTTGTGAGAAATTTTAAACATTTTATAAATAGATATTAAGTTGGTCAAGATCACATTCTGTATGTAACAATTCGCCCGCTGACGCGAAAAATAATCCAAATTCTTCGTCGTTATTTCTTCACACCGATGAGACACAGCGGAAATGCGTCATATGGGCAGAACGTGAGCGTTGAATGTAACTTTCGAAGTAGACCATAACGACGGGATGTTTCTTTACAAAAAAAGACCCTTTCGCGATGTGAAAAAGAAGTGGAAAACTGGCTCTTCAAATAAACGCGATAAAAACAGGAATGAATAGAATTTAAAAACAACGCGTTTATTATTTTACGAAAGAAATCGCATGTACTGAATTTAATTTAGAAATTGTTTATAGCGCATATAAGATGAACTTGTAAACTCACATGACCCATTTTTGTTTTTTCGGTTGTGTTTTTCGTCAACACCGTTCGATACAGCACTCTATCTCTTGCTTGTAATAATACATGCCGGATGAGATAAGAATTCGTCGTAGATAAGGCATGTTTATCACGTATATACAAAAATCGATTGAATTTTCATAATGACAAATGCCTGTTTGGTGCCTGATTCCGTTATAAAGTTATAAAAGCTCCGTTATACGTGAAAAAAAGCATGCTCGATATGAATTTGCGATATTATTTGATGTATTGCATGCATCGGTTCCTGTTTGATAAAAACATGATATACAGTCATTAAAAATAGAACATTAAAATTATTTCAAGGTTTCAAGATAGGTATAAAAAGAAGAATGTCATGTCACTCTGAAATAGCTGCGTATTAAAAATTTAAGATTTTTTTTCTTAAATTTATGTTAAAAGTTAAAATGTTAAAAACATCTAAATATATCTTGTATCTTTTTTTCCTCAAAGCTAATCCTCAAATCGTGAAAGGTATTTAAATATTTTGTTCTTAGTGATTCATTCTGTGTGTAGGTTTACGTCCGGGTAGACTCGAAAGTGAACATTAGTCTTCTGAACCGCAACAATATGGTTTGGACGAAACATAAGCAACACGTTTCAGAGGCTGTCGATTGTTGACTCGGGAATAATTTTTACATGGAACTACAGCTATTGTGAGGTTGAGCGTAGGAAATGAATTTTACAGATTCCAACGAAAATGGAGTTTGCCGAAGTTCGCTATCGACTTTAGAATAAATACATCGTGATGTCGGCAGTCAGTGACGAAATCAATTCGTCAATGTGATGTAGCAAACTGCGTGTATCGTTAATTTTGTGACCTTGTCCCCGATGAAAAACCATCTTGGAAATCTATTTAGAAGTTGTTGCTCTTTAAGAGTCTGTTTGCTTTCTCAGTGAGAAAATTTCGAAATGCTCATGCTCGCAGCAGAACGTGGACGTGGAACGGCTAATAATCGTCGTCTGCCATTTTTGTCACGGAAGAGCGTCACGATACTTTCAGAAAAATCTTGAATCCCCCTCGCTCGCGATTTTCTCGGAATTCGCACAGGAATTCCGTCGGAAATGAAAAATTCCGTACGCCAGAGCAAATTTATAACGGTGTTTGCAGTCGACATGGGGATCGGTGAAAATCCTCTTGAGCAGCAATGGCGTCGTTTGGTGATGTGGCCGGCGTACCGAGAACGCCTCGGTTCTCGTTGCTTTGCAACAGCACAAATGGCGCTTGGCTCCTCGTGGTGTCACCATCTGTTAGCGATAGTTGACATTAATTGTAGTTTCACGGTTTCACGACAGATGACGCCATACTATTTAATTTTGCGTCGCATTCGCGTGATATTATAAGTGAAATCTAATATTTAAATATAATATTTATTTAGAAATATCAAAAATAAATTATTAATACAGGATTGTATATTATATTAATTAATATTAAATGATATTTATATTAATATTAATTAAATATTGAATAATATTAAATTATATATTTTATATAATTAATGAAAATAATTTTTGAAAATACAGAGAACTTGATTTTTTTATTGCTATAAATAACTATAAAGATTATTTTTTTACATAATCTATCTGTTTTTAATTCAAATTGCAAGTCAAATTATATTTTATTTTAATCACAATCTCTATGCTTTTGGCTAAATTGTATTTTAAGATTTTTGCATAAAGAAAATTAGAAATGCAATGTATAAATGATGAAGCATTAATAAGACTTATTAATTTTCTTATTATATATTTCTTTGCAGTGTGCAGATTTTGTAAAAGCAGGAGCAGATCAAGGCTTGACACCATCTGATGTTGTGATGGCTGCTGATATCACCTTTTCTTGTGTGGCTGATCCACAGGCTGCCAAAGATGTAAGTGTTTAACTTTAAATATCATTCTTCGAAGATAATGAGCTATTTTATCTCCCTGTATAAATTTTTTTGTTACAAGAGAAACTATGCCACATTGAATTCAAATGTCTTTCAGATGGTGTTTGGCAATTGCGGTGTTCTGACGGAGATATCTCCTGACAAGAGTTATGTTGAAATGACTGGCATTGACGCAGAAACATCTCAGGACATTGCCGAAGCGATAAACGGCAAAGGGGGTCGTTATTTGGAGGCACAGGTGCAAGGAAGCAAAACCCAGGCACAGGAAGGCACTCTTGTCATTCTCGCTGCCGGTGATCGGTCGCTCTTTGACGAATGCCAATCTTGTTTCGAAGCTATGGGCAAGAACAGCTTCTATCTCGGCGAAGTCGGCAATGCTTCCAAGATGAATCTCGTGCTTCAATTAATGGCCGGCGTTACTTTGGCTGCTTTAGCAGAAAGTATGGCACTCGCAGACCGCGCAGGACTTCAACAGAAAGATGTTTTGGAAGTTCTTGAGTTGACCTCTTTAGCGTGCCCGGCAATTCTTGATAAAGGCAAAGGTAGACGTTGATTTATTTAAGCTAGTTATTTTATCTTTGTGCATTAATTCTCAATCAGTCTGATGCAAGGGTAATATATTACTAAGATCAAAAGATTTAGCTGTAATAATTCTTTATAAACAATAATTTTAAATCCAACATTGTTTAGTCGAATAATCCTAATATTGATATATTATAACGTTTTCTCAAATTTATGGAGGCTTAACAAAACTGAGATTTATCGAACTTGTAGCTAATGAAGCTCTGGATATTTTGCTTTGCAGCAATCATCGAAGGCGGTTTTCCAACCCAACTGCCGCTGCAACATATGCAGAAGGATCTGAGATTGTCTTTGGGCATGAGCGATCAATTGGAACAGCCTCTTCCGTTGGCTGCTGCGGCGAATGAAGTGTACAAGCACGCGAAACGTCTCGGATACGGCGAACATGACGCTTCAGCCGTTTATATTAGAGCCAGGTTCTAACGCAGCATATGCTTCGTGTTGTCACCGAGCTTCTGCTACACCGTATTTATTGCGATACCTGACGTTATTTCCCGCCGCCACCTGAGGAGAAGAAAGAGAGAGAAAGAGTAGTACGTACTTTAACAAGATACTCGACTTGGTCTGCGACTTTAAGATATACCATACAATCAGATTTGTGCGTACATCTATAAGATTTTATGGAAGATACAAAATGCATTTTAGAAATAAAAAGAGCGCAAAATCGCAGAAGAATTTCGTTGACGCGCGTCGAGGAAAAAAATATTGCAATTATTTGCAAAATAATCTTATCGCATATTATGACAATGATAATTTCAGTGATTTCAATGATTACAGAAATATCTTTTTCCTTCTGATACGTTTCGTTACGCGTTTTCCATGTGCTTTTTCATGAAAGAAATATTTTTCTTGATGTCGGCTCATTTGATGATCGAGCTTCCCGAGTCGCGTCTCGACTTCGATCGCGTGAGAGAAGCTAAGCCTTTGGCTCAGTTTCGAGAGATTCGGGACGTGTCGGAAATATGTGCCTTACGATACGGATTGAAGGAAGATTTATTAATGTCATGTCACGGTAATGTCATCATATGAAGTATGAAATGCGTTGAGAATCGTGATGACAATGAGAACTGATGACAATGAACACATTGTATCGGCATGAGATTATCTTAACAACAAACTGACAGATTCGCCGACGTTGATTACAGTTTTGATGATAATCACAAACATTTCATGGTATACTTATAAAGTTAGATGACAATGAATACTTCTAAGATATTGTCATTATTATCATATAATTAAAAAATTGGTGTACTACTATATGAGTTGGACAATATTTTAGAAATATTTAATTTGATGAATAACAGCAAGGAGAACTGATTCTTCTATGCATACTTTTGTCTTCTGCATAACTTGTAATCTAAAAGAATAGATTTTATAGAGGCACTTTTATTTTGTAGTTTTTGAATTTTTATCTCGCACTTTGTATAACAAATAAAAGACATATAATGTTGTTCTATATTAAATATTAATTATTATATTAATGTTTCTATTATCAGATCAGTAAATTATCAGAAAAAAAACTAAAGGCGACTAGTTATTTTTCTAGAGATACTTCAATAAGTATTATAGACAGTGTACCATCGTCATTAAGTTTGTTTATGCAGAAGAATTCTGCAATATCGCCAGAATTCGAGGTTTGAATAAAAAAGATTTCTGTTTGCGCTCGCTGAGTCGGCTTGCTTTTACGACGCTTCTGTTGATAAGTCGATAAATAGCGCTTTTTATCTTAATCGATATAATAAACTTTAGGAGATATCAGATATATAGGAAAAATAGGAAACGTTATTTAGTATATTACACGTTGCGTTTCTTTTTCAACAATGATATCAGCACAACATCAGTTCTCCTCGAACATCTGGTCTAGAAAACATAAGTTAAAATTTGCATATCTGCAAAAAAATATTTCATTCTTAATCTCTACTATTCTACAATAATAAAAATGTCGATTTTCAAATCAAAGATGAGATCTAAATTAAACATAATAAAATTAAATTTGTTAATATAATGCACATTGATGAATTTTTACGGTTTATTTTCCCAAACTGTCCCAAATCGCAGCGCAATTTAATTGATACACAAGGATCTTTTTCCTTAAAAGCATTGTGACATCGCGTGTTCGACGGACATCGACTTCTCGAAACAGTTTCTTGGGACGGTTGCCACGATAACGTACCCCCCTCTCTCGTGTGCGATCGTACGATTTTCGCGAGAATCTTTTTTGACGACGAAGAAGGAAATGAGTGAGTAGAACGCTTCCATTTTCTCAGGATGGTTGTGTGATTCTCATAGGCAACACGCGATGAAGTCGAGAGCGATCAGAGGACCGCGAGTTGGCATAGGAGAGTTGCGATCGAGAAAAACACGAATTTTCCCCGATTTTAATGTGACCAGACATACCGTCGATGTTGAAGAAAAATATAAGAATCTTAAAAACATATATTGAAATAAATTTGCGCTACCTATCTCTGATTGTTATTTGTGCAAATTTTATCTCTTGTTTCTGTAAAGAAATATGAATTTAGTAACTGATTTTTTAGTTTAAATTAAAAAAAAAATATATACGTAGATAAAATCTGGGAATTGTTTCTATTTTAATAAATATGTTATGTTTTTTTTCTAAATTTTTATAAATATTTAAGTTTTTACTTCTTAAGTTTTTCGTCTTTAAGGTAAAAATTAAAAAAATTACAATCAATTAATTTGCGCAAATTGTTGCTTTTGGGAGAAATTCTTAACTTTTGTGAATATTTTATAGAGTCCAAAGAAACCTAAATAAAACTGTTATTACTGTAGGGCCACAGTTCTCTCATTATATAGTAATTTTTATATCTCTTCAAATAATTATCTTTTGAATTATCTGCGTATTTGTCTATAAAAATAATTTCTTATTAAGTCAAACGGAAAATCGTGTTGTATGCTCGACGTGATCTCGAATTTGTATAAGCGTCTGCGGGAAATTGCGTAGCGTATAGCTAAAATAACAGTGGCTTGGCGCCATATCACACGTACGATGATACATGTATAATTAGATACGTACACAATCAACAAGTTAAATAATAACATTAAAGTGGCAAATTGTATGCGTATAAATTGCAATTGGTGTGGATGGAGGGATAGAAGAAGAAGAACATATTAAATATTCTACAGTATAAAACCATAAAAGAAAAATATATACATAATTAGTAAATATTAAGTTTACTAAAGAACGGAAAAGAAGATAATAATATGGAAGAAATTAGTGTGAGTGTGAGAGAATGAATGAGAGTATATGTTATGCGCATTACGTAACGGCAACAGACGTTATATGTTTTGTCACGGATACAATGGTTTTTGAATAAATATCTATTTGAACTATGAATTTAATCTTTCATGCCTTGAATCGGAAATTACTGTTCTTAGGTTGATATTTTATTTCAAGTATAAAATGTCTGGTTTATTTTTCACATACATTTCATATACTCGCTATTTTTATGTATTTGTTCAGATAAAATAAAACAATTTATTTTTCAATGACGACATTGTGCAGTTTCTGTTCTCTCAACATATATGTTTCGATAATTATATTTGCAATGGTTATATTTTCAAATTTTTCTGGGAAATCTAAAATGTGACACTTTGATAGATCTCAATCTGTCATGGTTTTATATGTTTTAGCTTGAATATCAAGGAGTGAGTTTTTGACAAGTTTGCCTAAGGCTTAGGTTTATTGCATGTATCGCATGCAAGCATCGCTATGTAAGCATCGCTATGTAAGCATCGCTTCCCGTTATTCATTATAAAATTCAAGTATCTAAGTGAGTAACAGGCAAAGCCACTTAAAAAACTGAAATTGTTTTTTATTTGTAATATGTAGTATTTTAAAAAAAACATTCAGAACCAATTGGGAAATGCCAATTTTCATTAATTTAGTTCAAATAAAAACGCCGAATAAAATAAATATAAAAAAAAACGAATCAATTATTTTTTTAAACGTTATTGACAAATAATTATTTAGAAATGTTGAATTTATATTAAAGCCACAACTATAGTGATATTTCGGTGATAAAACTATATATTTTTTAATTAAGCATTGTTTTATTTAAATAATCCCAAGTTTGATTTGTGCAGTCAAATACCGATAATTATTCGAAAGGAAATATCGATACTTTTTATATTCAAATTATATTGGCGGTCACCCTTAGCTGAATTCGTATCCGCGCACGCGCATATTAAAGAGCGCCGAACGCCTTCGCCGATACCTGCTGAGAGGGATGCTGATGGTGGGGATCCGCAGTGTTCGGCACGGAAGGGAGCAGTCGTAACGCGGAGGAGAAAGAGGGACGGAGCACCCAGATGACACCTGTGGCTCGACCCCCACGATCAGTCCAAGCGCGACCGTGCACGCGCCGCTCCGTTGTGTTGTTTTTACGCGTTCCCCGCTTACGCACACACAAATACGCAACCAGTGTGACGCAGACGTACAATCGGTGCGAGAGAGTGCGCGTGTACACAGACAGGGATTGTTTGTCGCCTCGAGTGCACAAATGTACTGTACGATTCGAACGTATTCGCTCCACGTGCGACTGTCATCCCAATTGTCACCGATCGACGCAGCGATATCGAGAAGAGGAGATTCCTACGGAAGAAACGGTATGTATTTCATGTGCATTTACGTAATATGGCGCGAAACTCGAAAGCAGTATGATTTCCCCGAGTTTAAATATTGGTGCTATTGGCACCAATATTTAAAATGGCTCCTATGTTTATCTGTGTCATGAGTGTAAAATCTGCTCTCGCGTCGCTGCTATTATTAATGGCAGAGATAAATATGCAGAGCATATTCGATTGAAACAAGTTTGCATCGCTCGGGCGAATTAATGAATGCAGATGCGCATCGTAGCTCTTATCTAAATTCATTCCTCCCATTCATATAAAATTGATAAAAATTAGACTTAATTAATAGTCCATTAATAGTACTGTGAAAACACTTTTACGTCAAAGCCATTTGCATTGTTGTAAATAAGCCTAAAAAAGCCTTCTCGCCATCTCGCCAATTTCACACCGCAACAAATCATCTGACGCGAACTCTAGCGGCGCGAATAAATATAAAGGTTCTTGTTGCGCGTTGCGTCGGAAATTCAGCTAACTGATTTCGATCTTTGCAAATTGTTTTCGTTTTGCTCGCGTTGAGCAAAGCGCCTCTTCTCTCATCGACGACAACTGGCCGCCGCGGTTATCGCGGACGCCCGAAAGTGGCTGGTCGCGGATACGCCGCGCCGTCGAGTAGCGCATGTAGATTCTAGGAACAAGGTCGTCGATGTAGAGCGTTACTTTCTAGACGGCGCGGCGTTTCCGACGCAACCGAGTATTACCGAGAACCGTCTTCTCCGCAAAAATACATGGTCATCTACATGTAAGTTTATGTGAATATATATATATATTTGATTGTATTGAAGATTAGCGGATGTTCAGTATGACTTGATAGGTTAGTATAGTAATTAACGGTTCTCAGAATTGTTTTCATTTTCTTGATTCGACATGGTCTGCACGAATGCTTCAAAAATCACTGGAAATCATAAAGATTATTTTTGATACTTAATTTTAGTTAGTTTACAGTGCAATATTAGTGGAAATTTTCAAGTTATGTTTTGTTTACATAAACAGCGGAATGTAGAAAAGTCAAAGTTTATTTGGTGAATGCTGAATCTTTAGTTGCGAATATTATATATGTGAGGTATCCGATAAATCAAGTAGAATCGCCTGAGTGCATTATTTTTATATTCAACATTACTTTTTTTATTAATTATGCAACTATTCGAAAGAACTTATCTTCTCTTTTTACTTGTGTTCTTATAAAAAACAAATCTTAAGATTTATAGACATTGTACATATATATAATACATATCCGGCAATATACATGATTGAGACGTTTGCAGCAAAAAGAAGTAAAATGTTGAATGGACAATCGATCAAATTATGCATCACTGTTAACTTAAAAGGACGTTATTGTATTATATGTCGTTTAATATGGAAATAACAAACCGCAGTAGCTTATTTATTATATTCTTCGTTGATAATTTCAATTGATACAGTGATTAAGGGGTCAAGGCGTTCATGTGCCGCCTCTTGTGTATTTCTTTATCTTTCTCATATCTTTCATAGTAGGCGTATCTTTTTTCGTAATAGCGCATCCTCTTCGCCTTTATTCTCGCGGTCTCGCTTACAGCGAGAAAACAGAGCGCGGCCCGCATGTCCGCCAATGCGAGACGGAGGCGCGTTTCGCTCGCGACACGCGAGAGACTTCGGAAATCCCGTTTGCGGCGGCGTCGTCGGCTGCTTAACGACGATAGCTCCCATCTACATAGTATTTCTCGGAAACGGTGTTGATATCGAAGCCGATACTTCGATTCGCCGAATTAAAGAGTCATCGTGGAAAAAAAAGCAAAGCAAATACTGCGCACAGTTCCTCGTTCCATTTCGAATTCAGCTACGGTGAATTCTGACTAAGCGGTGGCTTTATAATTCGAAAATACGAGCTATCTCAGTGAATAATCTTCCTATTATATATTTTTTGGTCAAATTTTTATTAAAAAATATTTTTTCGATTTTTCTTAAGCGAAAATGTAATTATGGAGAGTGAAATCAATCATTTACCGCAAGTTTATAAATGTCAACATTAATTATCTTTACATAATTCTTATATTTATTATAACTCATCTTAAATTAAGGATTTCTTAATTTTGATTCAGGAGAAATTAATAACTTTCTTTTTTGAAATTTTTTGTTGAAAATTGATATTTAATGGAAATTTAATTCGATACAGTCAAGATTTCCAGATGATATCATGCTATTTGTAGCTATGTACACATTCAAAATGCAACTGTGACAGTCTAGCGCGTCTAAAATATTATTCATAAATATTTATCATCCACGATGAGATTGCGAAAAGCACGTGACGAAACTTGCGTCATCTGCATTATAATTTTCGGGAAGTCGTTGAGATTGATGTCGATTATATTTCAAATCTTTCTCACGTCTCGTCTATTTCCTAAAATTTACTTATTCACTCCAACGTTACGTCTCGATATTAGTTTAAATAATGGAGATTTAACGAAAGTATCTTATTGTCGCCATACGGTGCTTCATTGAAACAATAAAATGTTCATCGTATCGGCGACGCTTTGCCGATACAGTTTTGTTTGTAAGTGCGCATTCGTGTGAAGTATCGGTCGATGAGATCTCGGGCAAGAGCGAGAGAGATGCGACGTTGCTTGTGGCGGAAACAGCGTGGACAAAATTACGATGGCGACGTCGAGTCGATGTCGAGTCGAGTCTGCTTCTCTCCGTAACCCAAAGCAGAAAATTTACCTTGGTTCGAGTATCCCCTGGAGATTAACCCTTTCCGGTCGAACGATTTCAATCGCAACGCATTGTGTCTTATCTAAGCAAATTCAAG